CCTGCAGGCCAAATCCAGTCTATTGCCTGTTTTTATATGGCCCATGAGCTAAGAATGGTCTCTATATTTTTTAAGGGTCGTAAAACAACAAAGAAGAATATGTGATGGAGACCTTATGTGGCTTGCAAAGCTTAAAATATTTACTATCCGGCCCTTTACAAAGTCTGCCAAACCCTGCCTGGGAGAACTGTTAGGGAACACCCACAATGAACACATAAGACGACTGCACAGAACTATCGTTTATGTTCTTGGGATTATAGGCACATGCTCAAGCAGAAGCAGGAGCCTTTCATTTCTATTCAAATCCCCTGCACAGAGTGGCCGGCATGGCCTAGCATAATCACATGAGCGAATATACAGAATCTCTGAATCAATCTCAGTCTTAACCATAGAACAGCCAGACATTACGTGATACAAGAGAAAATGTACACACCGCCTATGAAGAATTCTTGCCTAAAAGAACTGAACTCAAACCTAATCAAGATCTTACTACTAATTTAAAGAAAATACAGTGAAGACATTAAATGACACCACCGTGAGGAAGTAATCAGTAATCACAGTGTGGGACATTCTAACACTACTGCACATGTGGCTTGGTTTCTTCAATAATTCAATTGCATGGAAAGAAAAAAGGATGAGTGGGTGAGTGAGAAATATTATAAAAGGGACTTAAAATACAAAATAACCAAATAGAATATGTGGACATTGTTTGGATCCTGATTAGGAAAAGGAGCGAGAAAGAGAGAAGGAAGGATGGAAGGATGGAAAGATGGATAGAAGGAAAGAAGGACCAACTCAGTATCATCTAAGATAACAAAGCAAAATTGGAATATAGTCTGGGTATAAGATGATTTTAAGGAATTATTGTTACTAATTATTCTAACTCTTGTTAGATGTGATAATGTTTAACATAATTTCCTTTTCAGATAGAGATGTTATCTAATACTGATGAGATTACACAACGTCTATAACTTGCTTCAAAATGCTCCAGAAAAAAATAAAAATAAGAGATGGAGAGGTTAGGATAGGTTAGGATAAAATTGGTGAAGTGTTGGTAACTGTTGAAGCTAGTGATGGCAGATGAGGGTTCATGACACTCTCCTCTCTACTTTTGTATATATTTGAATAAAAGCTTTTTAAAAATAAGCTGATCAAATCATTGGGGGCAGACAAAAAATCACGATGGTAACAGAGAGCTAGAGAAGATGGAATTTTCTAGATGAGCTGCCTGAGAATTTTAAGATCAGAACAACAAAAAATAGTACAACTAAGAATAAGACACTAGAAATGCTAAATGCCTGGATAAGCCAAACAAAACTGTCCTAACCTAAACTCTATACGTTTGATAAATCACCACTTGGAGGCAATGGGATCCCTACTGAACAATAAAACGCTATTCGGCTTACCTGAGAAGGGTAAAAATAACAAATGCCAGCTCTTGTTGGATCTCCTTCTTCCTTTACCTTGGAACCATCATAAAGGAAAAAATAATTCCACCTGGCAAGAGAATAGAAAAGATACATGTTCCCTTTTATCCAGAGCTCACGGCATTTTAAATGCAGTTTCCTATTTCCCAACTTGACAAGGGCTCATTACTCAGTGTTTGAAAGCCTTCTGGTGGCCCTGGAGGAGAAAGAACCCTAGTAACTACAAATAGATAAAACAATTCCATAAGTGCAGGAGAGTCAAACTAAAAATATGCTCTATCCAGCCGTCAGACCATCTGCCTAGAAAGGCAGGAGCAGCTAGAGGAAAAACCAAGCAGCCACAATGATGGCTCTTATC